TTGCAGCAGATATCTGTCGTCAAAAATCGTAGATAACATGAAGTTTGTGTCGCTGGATTCTCAAGCAAGCAGCCACCCGAGCAAAAAATGAAAAATCCAAAAAAATCAAAAAAAAAATCAACGCTTGCAGTGAATAAACAGTGGATGTGAGCACGGTAATAAAATTCAACAGCAGCGATAGTTAACTGCGTCAGAAAGGGGGGGTCCTCTTTGATGGTACAGTTTTTATTTAATTACGAGCTGACAAATCGAACAGACAATGGTGAAAATAAGTGTCTCGTAACTGAAAAGTCGACCCAATGAAGTTGTTATGTTCTCTGCAAACACTGTACTTGAAGTAAAAAAAAAAAACTAAAAAAATGGATACATTACTTTCGGAGCAACTTTGCTCGATTAGAGTATTTTTATGGCTGAATGGCGCATCTAGAAATTTAGTAGTTCGTCTGTTAAACTAATAGTTGTTATGTGAAAATAATACAAGTAACAAAAATATAATCATAAAATAAAGCAGTAAAATCAAGTTATACAAATCAGCCTCGTTTTAGAACAAACTTCAAAAAACAAAGAAATGGTTGTTCTTTTATTGTTTCCATGTCTTTGAGTCTGTACGAAATTTCTCAATGAAGCAGACATGTTGGAAATAAACGAACATATTTCATAGTTATTTTCATGCAATTCTGGGATGTTTTGGTAAAACAAACAAAATACAGTGTGTAAAAAGTCAGATATAACTAAATCTTTATATGTCAAAAGACAATATGAAAAAAGACAAAAGAAAAACTAGTCTTTGTCTTCTGATGGACATTATCAAGCCAAATGTAAGAATTTTATTATGCAATATGTATTTATACACAGAAGTAAAAGTTTTCATTGACTTTCTGTTAGAGCGAAGTATATTTAAAAGTGTTCTCAAATTTTAAAAAATTGAAAAGGTTGTAGCGTACGTACCAAATATAGCGTCGGGTCGATTCACTAAATGTAGCAGGAACACCAAAATATATAGGTACTATTACTATTTATATGATACTTCCACGTACAGGATTCAAGTAATAACAACAACTCCAATTTATTAACCAACAAATATATATTGAAGAAAAGACAACAACAAGCATGAAATAATTTGTTATTCACAATGTAGATTAAAGAGAAGGAAGTTGTTTCCCTTTAACTGTAGATTGATTGTAATCAACTGTTTGAAGAAAGCTCTCTTGTGAGATAAATGTTCCGAAATAATTGTTAGAGCAAAGTTTGCATGTGAAGAATGAATAACACCACGAATACAATTGCTTGAAATGTGTTGTGAATAAACTGGTTTGAATCAACAAAGTTCTGGTTGATTGTGCTTGGCAAAAGTTACAGAGAGAAAATGTAAATTTGTAGTTACGAAATTCTGTATCTGTGTGTGCGTTAGAGTGTGATGAGCAAAATCGTCGATTTATCTTGAAATATATATATATATATATATAGTATAGTTTTTCTATGAGGCGATATGTATAATGACAACAAAACAAACAGAAAATGTTGAAAAAAGAAGTTTATCGAAACTGAAAACTTTATCCAATGGTGTTGTTGTGCACGCTGCATAGACTGTACTTGGCGAAGAAAAAAATGACACCGGTTGCACTTCTTTCGGGGTATTAAAAATGGTGGAATGTCGATCTGAATTTATATCTGTGCAATAAGGCATCATGTTGGTCTTCAGTGCTATGCCAAAAGGAAAACAACAGGGATATCGAAAGATGCTCATCGGTTTTTTAGAGAGCACTCCTGTTTACAGTGTCAAACGCTTTGGTCAGATCGATAAAGACGTCATAGAGTTCATGGTTCTTGTCGCGAACTTTCCCAGCAACCTGACGAAGTGAAAAAATCATATCAATGGTTCCATGACCTGTAGGAAAGCCACACTAAAATTCGGGATAAATGTCATCAATGAGATATTTGATTATTCTGTTGAGAATAACACAAGCGAGAATTTTGCCAGCGATACTAAGAACTGAATTACCACAGGAATTATCACATACAACCTTATGCCTTCATGTAATTGATAGTCGCTTGTTTATGCAACATATAACTGAGAGTGATATCTATCAGTGTATATTTTTCGATGACAAACACTTTGTATCATAGTATGCAGTGACATACATTTAACCATTTACTCGTGTATGGTGAATGTGTGTCTGAGTGTGTGTGTAGAGGGACACTGTCTAACAGTGCCATATACCTCCAAAACATTGTTTATTCTATTCAGTTGCTTTTCCGGTACATGGTAGGTGATTTAATTTTGACAGCAGAATAATGCCCTCCCACACAATACCTATACTACTCAACAAGCACTGCAATATGCTCAAAAACTACTTTAACCGGTATAATCACTAGAAAATGATGTCTGGCAAATGATAGGACTGTGTCTAGCGATTTCAGTTAGCCTTCCTACAACAGTTTCAGGCTAACGAATAGGGAAATGAAATGACGCAAGTTACTGTTCGTAATCTTTAAGAGCAAATTCACACAAGAATGTTAGATTTTTGTTTGTCTGGCTGCATATCAAATTTTATTTTCTTGGGAAATTGTAATTTTGCTTTTACAAAAATGTATTACTGGTACTTTTTTTATTATAAAAACATATTTCTACAGTTTTATAGAATTTTGACTCCAGTTTGGTTGTTCACTATTTGCTTAGCTCTTAGTAGATGCTACCCCTCCGCGCGAGGGTGGATCTGGGAACAACAGCAATTAAGTGATGATTCCACGTTCCTCAAGACCTCTCAATCAGGGATCTTGATGTCGGAAGTAGTTTACTTTAATACCCAGGACGAATTGCTAAGTTAACGCCCAAAGAAGATATAATATTTATCAATATAGAGTCTCGATTTTATTTTTATAATCCGCGGGTTTTTGCACAGTCGAGTCAAGCAGGTATTTCCAGTTTTTTAATCCCTTTGAATGATTCTCAGCTCATTTATAGGAGAGAACAAATTGTTAAATCATAATTTAGCAGATTATTATTTTTAGAGAAAGTGTATCTCTGCTCAGACATGCGTTAATTATTATCAGTAAATAAGAATTATCTAAGATAAATTCTTGCAATTTAAAAATATTAAAATAGCCATAAAAAAGGTTGATAAGCTGTAAAAATCAAATCAATCAAACCTAGTCCCTGTTCTGCTAACTTTTTAAGCAAGATTGTTAGGTAGGTTATGCGTTACTTTCCTGTCACTCTTGCCTTCCATATATCCTGTGAGTATCACATTCTCTAAGCCCTCTTTCCGCATTATATGCCCTAGAATTTTTTCTAAAATGTCGTCGTTTCTCACTTGTTCAATCCATGGTGTTCTCAGTCTCCTTCTGTAGAATCCGATTCCTGTTGCCTTAAGTCTCTTCATCATCTAAAATGAGATTGTCTAGTATTTGCTGTCACAAAGAAGTACTGCTATTTACATACCAGTCCAGTACTCTTTTCTTTGTTTCTAATGAAATCTAATCAATCAATCGAACTATATTAACTGTACGTACAATCTTGCGTCATTTGAAGCGCATATTCAGGATTTTGTAATTTTATTTTCCCTTGGTTTATTTAAAAATTATTATGAATAAAAAGAAAACAAAACAATGAATTGTCTGAGAATTTCATACAAAAATCAATGAAAATAACGACATCCTAAAGTATTGGTTATTGGGGAAAATTAGTCTGAAACGTCCCAGTTAAAAATCACAACAAAGATGGGGACAGTCTAAAATTTTATTGAATATAAAGAAGTCATTTAAAAATCCCAGACGAAAATAACAATAAGACAGCCTACAGTATTTATCGAACTCTAAACAACAACATACCTAAAAAAATCTCAGTAAAAATAACAATAAATTTGGGGATACGCCAAAATTTTATTGGATATAAACTAATCACAAAATTTCAGCCAAAAAAAAGAAAAGAATATCATGGTAGCCGAAAATAAATATAGAAAATAAACAACGACTCGTCTGAAAATCTCAATAAAAAAAAAATGGCGAAATTTAGAATAGTCCAAAGCTTGTTGTTTTTTTTTTATTGTATATAAACGACTCTTCGATAAATCGCGAAGAGAACTTCATGATAAATCCTTTTTAAATAAAAGTGGATATAAAAATAAAGTAATTCTCGTGGTGAAAATTTGGATTGTTAATAGGAACTGAAGTGGTCCGTTCGTTAAATATTCATCGTCTGTGTGCAGCAGAAGGAACAGACTAATATGGCAGCCGTATGGAAATGAATGGACTTAGAATATCTAAGTATGAAATATTATCACTTACATTCAACCAATTCGTAGAAATCCCTAGCTTATCTAATACTCTTGCAATCTCAGAGGTTTTTTTTATATAAATGAATATTGTACAGGAAGGAACATACGTATGTCTCATCATTTATTCTTTTCTCATTTTTCAACTTAATTTCAGATAATATACACACACACCTACATATCTATCTATCTCTCTTTATATACATTTATGTATGTACGTATGTAAGACATGATCTTATTCCATTTGGTTTCCATTTTCATCGTGAAAAGAATTGGAAGAATGCTGAATTCCAAATTGGATATGGGATAATCTTGTGACAGGTGTCTTCCTTTCGTTCCGTGAATTAAATCAAATTAATTTGATTAAATTCCTGAAACGAAGCTCGAGAAATAAATGTCCATATCTTTATCTCTTTCGGTCGTCAGATATGTATATCAACGTTCACATCTCAGAATATACACTCACATATATATGGATGCATGCTAAACTAAATAAATGTATATCTACCTGAATGTTCAATTGAACAGACTTAAGCTATAAGAATTATTGATATATTCATGGATATATAGTTATACATATTTTATAGATCATTCCATCATCCGCGGTCCCACATCTGTTAAATTCAGTCAAGTTAAACCCCGCCTCGTATCAATGTTTCCAGATTTATTTATTAGTCTATACCTACACATACGTCTAAGTCTATTCATCCCTATCACTACTTATATATGTCAGTCGGTTCATTATCTATCTATCTATCTATCTATCTATCTAAATCTGATTCTCTATTGATTTATCTGTCTATGTTAGTTTATCATCTATCCGTTTCGTCAACTATTTATCTCTTTTTGTCTTATCTATCTATCTATCTATCTATCTATCTATCTATCTATCTAAGTCTGATCGTCTACTTATCTGTCTATCTCGGTCTTATGATCTATCTATCTATCTATCTATCTATCTATCTATCTATCTATCTATTCTCTAAGTGTGATCCTCTACTTATCTATCTGTCCGTCTCAGTCTTATGATCTATCTATCTATCTATCTATCTATCTATCTATCTATTCTCTATCTATGATCCTATCTATCTATCTCTATCTGTCCGTCTTGATTTATCTGTCTATATCTTTATCTATCCGTTTCTCATATTTATCTCTCTATTTATCTTATCTATCTATCTATCTATCTATCTATCTATCTATCTATTCTCTAAGTGATCGTCTACTTATTTGTCTATCTGTCCGTCTCATCTATCTATCTATCTATCTATCTATCTATCTATCTATCTATCTATCTATCTATCTTTATCTATCTATCTATTTATCATCTATTCTCTCAACTATTTATCCTTTTTGTCTTATCTATCTGTCCGTCTCATCTCTTATGATCTATCTATCTATCTATCTATCTATCTATCTATCTATCTACTAAGTCTGATCGTCTACTTATCTGTCTATCTCAGTCTTATGATCTATCTATCTATCTATCTATCTATCTATCTATTCTCTAAGTGTGATCCTCTACTTATCTATCTATCTATCTATCTATCTATCTATCTATCTATCTATCTATCTATCTATCTATCTATCGTCTGATCCTATTTTTATCTGTCTATCTCAGTGTTATTTAATCTATCTATCTATCTATCTATCTATCTATCTATCTATCTACTCTGATCGTCTACTTATTTGTCTATCTCAGTGTTATAATCTATCTATCTATCTATCTATCTATCTATCTATCTATCTATCTACTCTGATCGTCTATTTATTTGTCTATCTCAGTTTTATAATCTATCTATCTATCTATCTATCTATCTATCTATCTATCGTTTTCATCACAACATTTTCGTTCTGGTAGGGGAAAGGTTATAATTTGGAGTACAACTTCATCTGACCCTAACCCTGATTTCAACGGATATTTTTATGCTTACACGTGACCATCAATTCATTTCACTATTCTATTTTAAATTCAATTAAGAAAAACATTAACAACCTTTAAAATATAATCTCAACCAACAATTCAGATATTTTTTATTAAAATTTAAATTATTTAACGATCTCTACTCAGCACCTGACGATTGCGTTGTGCATCAAACTCATAGTCGTCCTATCGGTGAGGGAAAATGTATATTATTTAATATATATTTTACAGCACTGTTATATAACTTCGATCACTATCTTATTAACAGAAGCACTAACGACAACTTATATTCACACATACACACACACATATATATATATATATATTCTCTACTTCTCAAGATGGAAAATGGATAAAATGGCGTTTTGCTGTAGGAGAAATGATTTTGGAATTTTGGGAAACTCTTGTAGTCAGATAGTCTGGCATCTGATAATTTACTCTGTCTGCTATTGCAGTGTTTCAGTAATCAGACCTTTGTCAGAAACACTCGAGGAAGGACAGAATAGGAAGAATTCTTTCGTTTAAAATGATGCTGTCTCTCTGATTATAATTATTAAGATATGGGTTCTAATTTGAATATCCCCAGAAATATTTAAGCTCTTTCCATATCAGACAATATTAAAAAAAAGCCAGAAGACAATTTTCCTCGTAATAAATTACTTATTAAACCATTTCAATATATAGAGTGTAAAAATAGTGTATTTATGCAGCTATTGTACGTTTAAACAATGGTTTATTTACTAGAAAAAACAACAACGAACGTTTGTTAATCCTTTTGACGAGCTTCTGATGGTGTTTATTCAGCGGCTTGATGTCGGTTGGAAACTTCTTGAAAGTGTGTATAATTCACCGACTAATTTCTATCACTGGTAGACATTTTCATAAGGCGTATGTAGAATCTTACTGAACAAATCCTAACGAGAGAAACAACAAAAATGTGGTTATATGTCCGATTTGTCGTCATCAACTTTAGTTCGTATCCAAGAATTTCTTTTGTTGATAGCTTCCTTTATGATAATGACTAAATAGACCAATAATTTTATGGCAGAGTCGATAGAATTGACTGCATGGTAATGTTGATGGAGGACGAGGTTCATTTTCTTGAGCTTTCTCGCTTGCCGATTGATTTCTTCTTTTTCTTTCCCGGTAGCTTCGAAGATTTTGATCCGATGGTGATGGAACACCGCTAATTGTTACGGTCTCGGGCTTGTGTTTCAAACGATTTAAACTAGTAGTTTCCAGTGTTGTTTGAAGTTAGTCCTTGTATCATCGAAGAGGGCAATTCTGTGGTCTCTTCCTTGAAGTGAACTCGCTGAATAAGACTTGACGTGCGAACCTTGACTCTTCCATTCTTGCTAAACGTCCTGACCATCGAAGGCGGTGTTTCAGGATCAGCGATTCGATCCATTGACTGCAGGCTCTTTTCAGGACTTTGGTATCTGTCATATAGTATACTCAATTGATTGTCAAGATTATTCCCAGTATTAAATTACTAAAGGAAACTTTTGGAGATAAATCGCCCGGATTAGGCATGCGAAACACGCTTTAGGTATAGACAATTGATTGTATTCGATTTTAATGGAAGCAACCATACACAAATATTAATTTGAAAGACCGTATTACAGCATTTGAGGGTAATATATATTAATATATGTTGTGTGCCATGCGTGATACACGCTTAGGCGATCATGTATCTTTCGATACATGACTGACAAGGCAGATATTTTCCCGTCTATTTCTTCGGCAGACCAGTTACCATCCAAGGCTATAGAAACCGGTCTGTTTTGCTATTTACTCATAGCTAGGGGGAGAAGAAGAGGATTCATACCTTTCCCATGTAAGTGAATTTAACGGATCTGGCTGTAATTCGAACTCTCCTATTTCTTAATCCGAGCCGATATCCATTACTGCACCATGCCTCCTAATATATAATATTCTACTAATATAGTTATTTTCCAAGCATAGATTTAGGTGTGGCACATGGCCCAAAGTATGGGGTACCCTGTGAGGATCAAACTCACTACTCAGTTGTAATTATTCTAGCGAGACAAGCTTGCTAACCATTACACCGCCTCGAGGTACCCTGCTATTCTACTAATATATAAAAGGACAAAATCAAGCAGGTGCAGAAATTTAAGTGTCTTGGTAGTTACTGGTATTGGAAAGTGTGTCAAAACTAATCGAAGGTCCGGGGGAATAGAGAACTATATCTTCTAGAAACTAAGCAAACTATTAAGAGACAGGAAAAATTGTTAGAAAGAAATAAAAACTGTGCGTAACAATCTAATATCTCATCTTCGATACGGAATTGAATACCGGAAATCTTTTTAACAGACCAAGAAGAGAACCGAAGCCAAAGAAAGTGGTTCTACGGAAGCCCTAAGATTACGATGGGCGGAACACATGAGTAACGACGAGGTCTAAAGCTAAATAGTAACCACAAAGAAACTCATACTAAAAATCTGAAAGTGATGTCTATATTATTCGGACTATTGTCCTCATCTTTGTCGCCATATTGATTAAAACGTTTCGGCCGTTGTACGCTCCGGCCTTCTTCAGGTGGTTAACGCCTTTATCCACTATGCACATGGCTCAGTCGATAAAGGCTCAGTGGATAAAGGCGTTAGTTACATCCAGTGACAAGAGTGTGAGTTCAATACCTGGTTAAGGCAGTGAGAACTTTCAGAGGGAAATTAACAGGAGATAACTGATAACTGACATCCATTAAACATGGCATGTGGAACTAGAACAGTCTACCACAGTAAGCGAAATAAAGGGTTAAGTTCGACATTCCAACCACCTGAAGAAGGCCGGAGCGTACAACGGCCGAAACATTATAATAAATATGGCGACAAAGATGAGGACAATAGTCCAAATAATGTAAATAGTGTACATAATACCTCATCTCAAATATATAGACAGATACTGAGATGTCTCAAATTTCTGGAAAGCATAATGAGATAAGCAGGCGTAGACGTGAGCAACGTGGAAGTCTTAAAGGAAGTAGAAACAATGGCTACAATTACGCCTATAATAAGAAAGAGCTGAAATGTCTAGGATAGGCATGGGTAACCTTTTCCGACCAATGGCTCGCATCAGATAAGACGCATCTTAAAGCGGGTCGCACTACTAAAAAGATTATTGAAAATGAATTTTTCGTCGAAAGTGTCTCAGCCATTTTCACTACAAAAGACCATACGTCTATGGAACTCTCTTAGAATGAAGAATGATTCATTGTTTTTGGAGAAAAGATTTTGTAATACTTAAAAAATCAAGTCTCGCTATAATATTATCACAGATGCCATAGTTACATATAATTTTTTTCTTATTTTTTATTTGAAAATAAAAAAAAAACAATATATTTCCCGAGAAAAAAACCCCAAAACAAACACATATGAACATCCGGTTTCTAAAGCAAATATTTATTCGCATGATCTTCCTTAGTGAAAATCGCCAATCGTTTAAAGTGATGAAAACGTTATCATCAACAAAAAGTTACAATATTCAATAAATCAATGTGCTTACATCATTGTTTATCAACGTGCTTATGCGTGAGAAAATGTGAGTGAACAAGTGAGGACAAAACGAAATGAAGCAAATTTTAACAAGATTTATTTTTCCTCGTGAAATCCGGCATACCATTTAGAAGATTACATATGACCCAACGACATTTAATGAGAAAAGATGGCCTAGAGAATCTAACATTCACAGGTCATACTGAAGGCAAGACAAATAGGGTAATACAGCGTGTAGCCTTTAAAGCTTGTCCGGATGGAAGACAGAAATGTTACAAGGTAAAAATAAATGAGGTAAAGCAAAAAAGACTGGAAGCTGTGGTGAGATGTTATCGACCACACCCTGGCAGCACTTGGCACATAAATGAGAGACTAATCCTGTGGTAAACTTATAGGAAGCACACAATTTTAAGTCACCGTAAAACAGGTAGCGTTTAGAAATATATTCAATTTTTAATAACAAAACCCATGTTTGAAACCTATGTAAAGCATAGAAGGCCTGAGAATTAAAATGCCGTTAATTTTTATTGAAATTTAGAAGAATAAGGATACTATATGAAATAAAAGGATTCGAATTAAAATGTCGAATTTCTGATACAATTTGGTTATTTCTGATTTATAACGTACAAGACTGATTGCAGGGGCGATGAAATATAATGTATAAAGATCTATATTCCACTTATTTTTATTTGCCTAAGCTAGCCTCACTTGGAACAAATATGTTTACTCCATGAGTTATGTCATTACCTCATTGCCGGTGTTGCACATTTTTTTTAAAAAAGTAAATGGTCATCCAATCTAAAACAATTTAATTGTTCCAAAGATAGGTAATGACATTAGAGCAATTGAATAAAATTGAGCTGAGACAGTCAATTGAATTTTGCAATATGGTAAAATTGGCCAGCAAAAAATGCTTTTGTCTTTAATTGGCCAATTTATAGTACCGTGTGTTGGGGAAGATGAAACTATCGTTCGGTGTAGGTGATAGGAACACGGTAATCGAATTAGAGCAAATTCATAAAAAAAAAAGCTTTTTTTTAATCTCTTCTTGAAGTATTGATTCAAATCAAATCATCAAACATTAATTCGAGGCGAAAGTGTGACAGACTTTTTGTTCATTTATCTGTCTTTGAGCGAACGATATGAGATTTTTTTTTATCTACAAACAAGTGCTAAATATTATTTTCAGTTAAAATGCAATCTTTCGCCATTCTCCATCTGTCCAAACCGAAGTTTATATATGGCTTTTCATTTACAAAAAAAAAAAAAAAAAAAAGTTAAATTGCAAAGTTTCGGATTTCAGACGTTAAACGTTTGCATCCAGTTAAATTGCAATGACTTCTGATTCAATGTCTGTCCAAGACAAACACTATTTATAATTTTTGTGATGACAACGAACACTCGATACAACTTTTTAATGTTAACAAATACTCGTTGTCACTTTCGTAATGCTCGTTGGAGTAGAGACCTTGTAATCGCAGATACAACTATAGTAACGCCGTTGAACAATACTGGTGTACGCCTTCGAATAACACTCGCACTAATAATACTTGCTCGATAATACTCGCTCGAAAAGTAACCACCGTATAGTGATCCGAATAGTAATCCGTATAGTGATCTGAATAAAGAAATAGTATAGTAATAGAAGATAGACTAGAAATGACGATCAGAAGAGTAATAGAGGATAGACTAGAAATGACGATCAGAATAGTAATAGAGGATAGTCTAGAAATGACGATCCGAATAGTAATAGAAGAATATTAACAGAAGATAGACTAGAAATGACGATCCGAATAGTAATAGAGAATAGACTAGAAATGCCGATCAGAATAGTAATAGAGGATAGACTAGAAATGGCGATCAGAATAGTAATTGAAGATAGACTAGAAATGACAATCGTTTAGACGTCACGACACCTCCTACTTATGCGTTCTTCTATGGTCACATGATCTAATTCAATAATAGGATCGACTGTGCTCACTGGCGATCTATGTTCAAATTCAATTGTCGGCATCAATACTTTATTCCTATATAACAATTTTTCATCTATAAACCACTGCTAAAATTAGTTTTCGAAGCAAATTGCCTTTTCATCATTTTCTATCTGTTCAAACGAATATCCTTATTCGTGATACCGTAGCTTGAATTTACGCGAGAACTTTCTAAGCATTCAGAAAGGAAGTTTTGAGCTAATTTCCCAGACGATATGTTTAATTGATATCTGAGAAGAGTATTGTAGTTATTTACACTAATTACATTCTTCGAACTGGTGTCCTCATCTTTGTTGCCATATTCACGACGTTTCGACCGTTGTACGCACCGGCCTTCATGAGATTTGAATTTCTAATCGAACCCATTATTTCGTTCACCGGTTTAGATTGTTCTAGATCTACGTGCCACGACTCTCACAGATATCCCAGTATCAGTTATTTCCTTTTTAACTCAATTCTCCAAGTTTTGATCCCCTCTGCTGTAGACAGGTATTGAACTCACAGTTCTTTGATTCAAGTCCCTGGATTAAATCAACGCTTTTATCCATTGGGCCGTGAGATTTGAGTTAAAAGGCCGATAATTGATACTGAGATATCTGGAAGAGACATGATACGTGGAACTAGAACAATTTACCACGGCAGACGAAATAAAGCTTTCGGTTTTGAAATTTCAGTCACCTGAAGAAGACTGGAGCGTACAGCAATCGAAACGTCGTGAATATGGCAACAAAGATGAGGACAGTAGTCCGAACAATGTAAATAGTGTAAATACATTGATAAAGTATAGGCCATTTTAATGTATTAAAGTTCTATCAATACAAGGCTCAAGAGCCATCCAAAGTAGAAGGTTACAGTATAAATAGCTATGATGAATGCAGTGTGACATATGCAGAACAGATAAGTATTAGAGCTTGAGGTTAAAACGGTAAGATTGCAGTGTTCGTGGAAGCATTGTTCTACTTAAAATTGGAATACGGAGGAAATGAGGCTGATTCGGGTCTGTGGACGTAGCACGGTGCCGAAGCGTAAACTGGCAGAACAAAAGAATGGAGCTCCTCTGAATATTTGTCATAGATATAGCGATAGAATAGCAACTAGGCCCTCAGCAGTTGTGATCTTGCTTTTACTTTGTCTAAACTTAATAAATATTGGATTGTTTGCGTTTAATAGTCAACGATTATTTCTAGCATGTTGAATACTAACCGAATGCTGAATATTTTTGGCCTCATGCCATACAGAGCTAAGCTAAGTAAATAAAAGCGCAAATGCTAATACGACCAAAATGATGTTTCCTCTCTTGGTCGTATTTAATGTAAGGTGGTTGGGACTTAATCAAAGAGGGAAAAAAGATCGATGTTCTTCGAAATTGTTTTCGATTCACTTATTATCGAGGGACTGATCAGAAATCGACGATAAACAAGATCAAAATATTTCCACTTGAAAGCGGAAATGAGATTGGTGTTCAGAAAAAGCAAAGGAAAAAATAAAACTCCATTACAGTTGGCGGAAATTCTACCAACTTTGAGTTTAACTAGAAAAGACAATGAACAGTTGGCATTAGGTTAAATCATTTATTTACTGGTCAGATTTTTTTTTATAATTTGGGGCAGAAACTTCCCTGTCTACCTGTCTGTCTACCTGTCTGTCTGTCTTTATATATGTATGTATGTATGTATGTATCTGTCTATCTATCTATGTCTGCTCAAATATCTATCTATCTATCTATCTATCTATCTATCTATCTATCTATCTATCTATCTATCGTAGTCTCTTCATATTTATATATCCTTCTATCTATGTTAGTCCTGCCATATCTATGTCAGTTCATATCTAATTCACACTGTTAATATCTATCTATCTATCTATCTATCTATCTATCTATCTATCTATCTATCTGTCTGTCTGTATGTCTGTGAGCAGGCATAGATAGGTAGATATGAACATGATATATATTATCGATTTCACTGTGTTAATATCTATCTATCTATCTATCTATCTATCTATCTATCAGTCTTATTCACTTCATATCACTATCTTTCTTCTGTTTTCACCATAACATTAGGACGATTAATACAGAGAATCAATAATAAACACCCTCCTTAAACATGTCACGTCACAATGATGGAAAAATTACAGACATTTACGGTAACATAAGCCGGTGAATTTAACCAGTTATCAACCCTTCTTTGTTGATTTAATGTCGAATATATATCTTATAGTAGAAAAATTTACAAGGAATTGACAGAAAGAGAAACGTCCGGCTTACATTTGAGTCAAATAAGCAGACAGAGATTCAGTATACGCTAGATTAAAAAAAAGGAAAACAATGTATTGGGTTTTCACTAAAATAAAAAAGGCAGCCATATTTACGGTTTACACCAGAGTTCAAAAGCCAGGTGCAAAGTAAAAAAGGTAGACAGCGCTTGATATAGCACAGCCAACTCGGAATTTGATGAGATATGGAAAGCAATTTTGTAGAGAAGAAAAACAATTGATTCTACCTTCTTTGAGTGAAAACTATTATTATTAAACCACTTTTTAATTAGAAAATTTAAAAAAAACATGCACGTATGATCAACACCCCTCCTTCTGGATACATCGAATTGTGTCATTCGAGATTAGTCGAAGATTTTTAATGTGGACGACATTGATAGTGATACAAGACGGTGTAATTATTTACCAAAGCGCCCACATCGCTACCAAATGTGGCACAAGGTCGAGGTTAAAATTGGGCTTAGGGGCAATATCGTCGAAAAATTGCTGAAGCCCTCTCAGCACTTCCTCTTTGGAAACGCTTCAGGCATTGAGCCCTTCCCAAAGAGAGGTACTGCCTAGGGGAAATGTTCCGTAGGTTTAATATTAAAAAAAATAGCTTGGGCTTTATATTTTTAAAAACATTCCCTATATTAGCTTAGGGCCTACAGGGGAATACAAGACGGTGTATTTAATGTGGATCGTTGATCCTGCTACAGATTTCCAAGAGACACTTGGTAAATGCTAATCGTTCTTTAAGTTACTTTGCGTCAGAGATATATTAAGTAAATCTTTAAAAATATTACGTAAATCCAACAGAGAGATAAAAAATACGAAACCTTTAATAGTGTAATAGAGTTTCTGAAAGTTTTCCTATTTAATTAGATTAGATGTTTTTGCAATACGCTCAGGATTGTTGAAATTCTCACAGCATTTGGTATTGTTGGATAACAAACTCTACAATTTATTCAATTTCGGAAACCAATCGCTAAAATTTGAATACACTGATTTGTTTGGAAAAATAATTTGAGAAAAACTTAATTAAAAACTTACTTAAAACTTTATTAAGTTCTATAGGACTTCATGGTAAACAATATTTTTAAGAAAATTTATTTTTTTCCTTTTTAGCAGCGAAGAATAAATTCTTAGGATTTCTTACTCTTGAGCATGCAACATACAACTGGCTATGCGTAAATATTTCTTTCTGGAGCCAAATCCCAACTTTTTGAGGCGTCTTATATTGCTAAAACTGCATCAAGTCAAGTAAAATAAAAGTAGCTTAGGAAATGCCTTACGAAGAACAATCTCTCTTTGTTGGAAGGTGTGTTGGCGTGGGGGTATGACTGACATACGCGGCCGCGGTAAAGTCATTTGATGTCTGTCTCCAGTGTAGTATTTGGAGAGAAAGAGAATGGCCACATGGTGGACTTATTTTGTAAGTTAAATAATGAAATTTTTATTTTTTGCCCTAAAAATAATGAAAATTTTTTTGTACTAAGCTATGCACTTTAGCAAAACCAAGAATACTTTTGTAGCCCCTTACCTATATATATATATATATATATATATATATATATATATATATATATATATATTATAAGCATTTCACCCCAAGCAAGGCAGGAATGCCACTATCGCTCAGGGACTTACAGAGGGTTGAGAACAAGAGTAAAGAGACGTGTTTGAGAGAAGGACAGTGAACAAGATCAAGGTATCAGAAGATGTCGTATATAGATAGATGTTTTAAGAGTGAGCAAGGCACATTGGTGTAGTACTCATGGAACCGCCATAACATCTTGCTTCGTTCACTATAGAAACCATACATAAAAATATAGGGTTCTTATTTTATTCAATCGATATATTGCTGTGTTATCAAAGATAGAACAAAGTTTATGTTGTGGTGTGCTCCCTCTAATAAGTCTATTGTGGACTCTTCTACTTACTATAATGTTAGTAGGAAAAGTATGCCCGGAATGTGATCTAAACTGAACGCTGGTCGTGTAACGCACTTCTATTGTATTTAATGTTTAATACACTATTTATGTGCATTATCTTGTTATTGCCAATTAATTAGTCACAACTTTTTAAAACAGGAAATAAAACACTTTTGTCAAGCGATGCAAAGGCTAAACAAGAAGTCTAAAACCAATATATATATATATATATATATATATATGTACTTACTATAGATTATACATCGATATATAAGAAATGAGAAGACTGTATCACTAAAAACTCTCCTATTGTCATCTGCCGGGGAAAGTTGTCAACAACTTGTGGCACTTAACTCGTAGCCGCTCAACAAACTGACTGATTAAAACATGTTTCTGATCATGAGAGTTACCGGACAATAGAGTGCCGGATTAAAGAGCTGAGTCGGACTGTAATAAGTAACCCTAACGCAAAGTAATTTACAGAAAGGAGTAACATATTTCATCCATTGATTGATTGATTCATTTTCCGGCTTATTAGTTATTTCAAGCCAGAAACTATTTTTTTAGATTGTAACTTATATCGGGTTAGTGAGACAAGTCTTACTACATCACTCATAACTGGAGGTGGGGGGGAGAAGAAGTGAGTTGCTTGAATGTGAATAGAATGAACCGAAATGGGATTGGAACTTGGCTCTCCGATTAAGAATCCCAAGCCATTAACCATTACACCACCCGCACATCCAAGCTTACAGCACCTGATATTCTCAAGGGGTCTTCTATCTAGGAAAGATTAAAGGAAGATTATAGAACGAGATCATCATGTTGTGCTATTTCAGACTCATGTAGCTTCTTTCGTCTTTTTCTTTTATGAATTTCAGTCGTACGATTTTTAGGTTGATACGTCGCTAAATTAGTCAAGCTACCCTAGATTGTTTGTCAAAGGTTGAACATCTTTTTTTGCCAAGCACAAATGTGAACAGTGGAATGTTTTTCCTTGTAAGAATGGGCGTTGACACAAAAAAACGGTATAGAACCCCTGAGATACAGTATCATGTCTTTAAGAACCTCATTGGTATCAAACACTGCAGTACTCATTCTACCTATCTTTAATGATAGCTGGAATCAGCACAGCCTGTTATTTCGTGCCCTGCAGCCATTATTTAAAGCAAGCCAAAGGAGACAGAACAGCAAATTAATATTTATCCAGCCTCCCCACCAAGACCGAATGTGACACAAGGTCGTTTTCACGTGTGAAGCACCATACACATACTTATGCATAAGGGCCAAGGACAAAAATCGATTTTTGCCCAGCCCCGGCGACCACTGTCACGCTGGCATCAGTATTATACCAATCCAACCTCTTTAGTGAGATGGGGAAGGTGCTGTTGTAGGGTTGGAATCCTCGGGGCCCAGAAACTTCGCCGATCTAAAATGAGGTGAATCATAGCCCCAATTACAGCACAGAGGCGTTAACCACATTTCCTGTGCCAATATCCTCACTATCTAATCTTGAGATAACTTCTTCTTCTTCTTCTTCTTCTTCTTCTTCTTCTTCTTCTTCTTCTTCTTCTTCTTCTATGGTCCTTTTGCCATCTCTTCTAAACCCTGCTCCGCCATCCATTCGTTTAATCCCGCCAATTAGTTTAATGTTGCTTCCCTGTCTGTCTGATCTTCAATCTCTCCTGTGAGTATCAAATTTTCCAAGCCCTCTTTCCTTATTATGTACCCCAGAAATTTCAAATATCTCATCCTGATATTATGTATAAGTGTCCTTTTCGTTGCCATTGTCATTCCTGTTCGGTCCATGGTATTCTCAGCATCCTTCTGTAGAACCACATTTCTGTTACTTCAAGTCTCTTCTTAATCTTTGAGAAAATTTTCAAGCATTAACTACAATATAGGAGGATTGATATTACATAACTTTACATTACTCTTTTCTTTGCTTCTAAGAGTATCTGTTTCTTGATACTTTACTTAGTTTTTGGAAAGCATCTTTCACTATCCCAATGTGCCTTCGGATTTCAGTGTCACACTTTCCGTCCACGATTAAAACACTTACAGGATATTTGATTTATTGTACCTTTGTGATTTCTTATATCCATTTTGTAATTTGCGTGTTGGGCTGTTCCTTTTTCTCACAACCATGTCTTCCGTTTTCTTACAATTGATATTTAGTCCTTTCCTCTCGCTTTTCTTCCCTATATTATATCATAGTTCTTATACTTTTCCTTTCTGTGTCTGCTATCAACACTGTGTCATCTTCATATCTTGTGTTGTTAAGATTGTGGCCGCCATTAATTAATCCTGATTGAAGATCTAATTTTCTCAGAATCGTTTCACTTGTATAGATTGAATATGTTTAAATTATTAACGGCCACAATCTTAGCAACATATGATATGCAGACGACACAGTGTTTCTATATTGTCCAGCATTCACTGCCATATAAGATGGACGACCAATATTACGTAACAGTTCTTTGTTTCTAGAGAAATGTTCCTGTTTCTTAATACTTTGCTTAGCTTTTTGAAGACCGCTTTCGCTATTCCAATGCGTCTTCGGATTTTGGTGTCACACATTCAGTCCTCTGATAAAACACTTCGCAAATATTTAAGTATTCGGACTTGTTTGATTTTCTTATGTCCGTTTGGTAATTTGCATATTGAGCTATTAATTTTGCCAACAACCATGTATGCTGTCTTATTGCAAGTGATGTTTCGTCATTTTATCTTTCTTTCCTTTACTGCTTACTGTAGTTCTTGTAATTTCCTTTCTGTGTCTATCAACACTGTGCCATCAGCATATCTTATATTGTTAAGATTGTGGCCGCCAATAATGAATCTGGTAGAAATTCTTGTTCTCTCAATATCGCCTCACTGAATAGGTTGAATAAGTCTGGTGAGAAGACATATCCTTGTTTTTCATCCTCTTTCTATTTTTGTATATTTACTGAATTCATTTTTTATCCATATAGAAGCGGTTTGCTGCCAGTATAGATTCTGGATTATGCAATACGTTTTGCAGTTATAATACAAATGGCGGCTTATATTCAATTATATAATAAGGAGTGTCGGAAGGGAAAATTATATCATAAAAAAACATGATCGTTATAAAAGAAAGAAACTGCGGTTTGCAAAGGTCTGTATAGTAACTTCTAAGTCGTTCTTTATTGGTAATAGAAAGTAGGATAGCAAACGAAAGTTTGAGGCCAGGAGTTTTTCCCTTTCAAAAGATTAGCAGTTAATTCGTAACCGAAACCTCTACAAATATACGTTTTAAAAATGAAATTCTTCTCCTTGAGGTCGAGTGGCCTATCAAATATTGAGTAACATATTTTGAACACCTCCTTGCAGCTTTCAGTAATTTGACAAGCGGAATTTAATCACTTCTGCTGAACAGTAAGTTTGTCTCCAGCTGTACGCGTCAATATGCGAAGCGAAGTTCTTTATTATATGTCTTGAAGTTGTCTTGTGGTCAGTATCCTGCAGGTAGGAACAGTGACTGTTGGCTCCTAGCAATGAATCATAAAATTATTTGGCAACATTGTCTGAATTTGGCAGGATCTGCTCTTTTATCATAAGTGAGCCTGGGGCAGAAATTTCCTGAACAGACAGACAGACAGATAGATAGATAGATAGATAGATAAAGAGAGAGAGAGAGAGAGAGAGAGAGAGAGAGAGAGAGAGACGTGGGCTAGAGGGTATTTGTAAGTGTGCAAATAAGATGCCGTTACCCAAATATGGGAAGATAGATGTAAATATATGGTCGAAGAAAAAAAAGAAGAGTGCTGTAATGAGAAGAAAAAGAAGAAGAAGAAGAAGAAGAAGAAGAAGAAGAAGAAGGACCTCTTTTAGGATGAGAAGAGGAAAAAGAAGAAAAAGAATAAGAATAAGAAGAGAGGGCTAACGAAAAAGAAAAGAAGAAATCTCTTGATGATGATGATGAAGAAGAAGAAGAAGAAGAAAGAGGAAAGAGAATATGAGAGAAAGAAAGAAAGAAAGAAAGAAAAGGGGGAAGAAGAAGAAGAAGAAGAAGAAGAAGAAGAAGAAGAAAGAGGAAAGAGAATATGAGAGAAAGAAAGAAAGAAAGAAAGGGAGAAGAAGAAGAAGAAGAATGAAAGAGGAAAAAAACATGAATGAAAGTAATGGAGGAAATACCAAACTGAAAAGAATAATGCGTTAAAAAATAAATTTCATAGATGGCGTTGAATAAAAAGAACAGGGAAAATGTCGAACAAAGAAAACGGTGTGTATTGAAAAAACGGAACAAAATGAAAGAAATGAGAGAAAATGAACGAAAGAGTTTAAGAAATAGATAAAATATTAGTTCGGGTGAAAAAAAAACAGATTGAATTTAGATAGATAGATAGATAGATAGATAGATAGATAGATAGATAGACAGATATAAAAGAAGAACTTGAGTGATAAGAAGGAAAAGAGAGATAGAGAGAGAAGGGAGAAATAAGAACGGCTATTGAAAAATAAAGCAGAGAGACAGTAAAAATGAAGGCAAGGGTATATGAAAAATATCTTAATTTCCAACATTTAAGAGCACCCGTAGGGGATGCAAGAATAGTAATCTTGGCGACTGGAATCTTACCTAACATTGCTTCAGATAACATCTAAATGCAACGCAGGTGCCACTCAAAAAATCAGTCAGTACACTGTATATACAACTTGGGATTCCTAACGAGGAATCTTTTGACGACTTCGGTGATCGGTCCAAATCTAGGTCAGAGAAAATCGCGAATTGACCGAGTTGTCATTTCTTTCCGGATGATGGTCGAGCTTGTATTTGGAAGAGATAAAATGAAGCTATGGATCCAGTCTGTCACAAGAGGGTTGAGCTAGCTAGTATTGGCATTTTTCTGGCGGCGAATTCGAATAGCAAATGTCTTCCAAATGCTTAGGGACAGGAAAATTTCGTTGAAAACAAAAAATCAGAAAAGAAAAAAATGAACAGTGAACTACTTTGCTTGTTATGGAATCCAGGACATCTACAGGAGGATACTGGGAATAACGAGGGAATTTGCCGAAAATGGAAACAAAGTAAACACTCAGAGTCAGTATGAAAGATTTGGAATTGCTGGGACACATGCTGGGACATTGTAAGAGGGATTTAGGTAAATTGCTCGAAATCAATTGCTCCAAAAATAATTTCTCGTACAATCAATTGCTCAAAAGGCAGATTTCTCGAAGTAATTTCAAAGCTCGAAGCACCGCCGTCACACGACACGTCAACGGAGTTGGATATAAAAGCCGCCACAACACTCAACCTTAGCAGTCCTGATTTTTTTTTTCTATATTTGTTTTCTATTTTTATTTCAATAATTTTGGAGATCTCGAACCCTTTGTGATGGACATAACTTTTGTTGAGAGCGAAAAATGAAAGAAGTTGTGTTTGGATGGATATATCTATATACTAAGAACAAAACAGGGAACAATAAGATTTACTGGAATTGTGAAATGTGCAAAAAAAAAAAAAAGTAGGAAATGCTTAGCACGTGTTTTATTTTTTTTTAACCACAGGTTTCGAGCAAAACTGCCTTTCGAGAAAAAAAAATAAGACCTGCTATATAAATGTACTCGTTTTTTAATTTTAACTGTTCAGTTAACAACAATAAAGTTGTATTATTTTATCTTATAGTAAATATTAGAAACAATGTAGTTTTTTTTTTATTTTAACCACAGGATTCGAGCAAACTGCCTCTCGAGTAATTGATAGTTCGAGAAATTATTTTTCGAGCAATTGATTTCGAGTAATTTACTGTCGAGAAATTTACTGTCGAGCATTTGATTTCGAGCAATTCACCGGATACATTGAAAGAGGATTTGATGAATTTGATACTCATAGTTCATATCGAAAGCAAGAGAAGAAGAAGGAAACACCAAGTAACCTACCTGATTGATTTGTGTAAACGTATGGCAGAACAGGGTTTGGGAGGAATAGTAGAGTACAAATGATATTTTACAGCTACAAAGAATAGGAAGCTGTGGACATCCTTGAAAAGGCGGAGAAGATAAAAGAAAAAGAAAGGCCGGGTTATTTTGAACGGCCGGAATATTTTGAAAATCTCGAGGCCTACAAAAGACTTACAGGTCATTGTTCCCGCCAGTCATCCCGGTGGGCATAGTTTGCGTTAACATAATAACGTAATCTCAATCATGCACAGTTGACACGAAACTGGTGCTAGGAAGAGTCCGCTGACATCCAGCTAGGTAGTAGCTTTCATGATCGCCAGATCTAAACCCGATTCAACATGTATGTTGCTGGATAGTTAAATATGAATAATTACAATATTATCTGAGCATTGATCTTTTCACAAGACAATGGCGTATCGTGGATGATTGGCTTTCTGAACAGTAGATCCGTGTTTGAATTTCGCCATAGTCGAATTGTCAGGAATGTGATTTATTTATGAGACAAGAGTTCGAAACTCAGCATAGTCGATTAGTCAGGAAGGTCATTTCTTTATCAGATCCAAGTACGAATCTTGCCATGGTCGATTAAACGGGAAGGTGATTTCTTTATGAGAACTGAGTTTGAATCTCGCCATGGTCGATTTATCAGAAAGGGTATTTCTCTATGACACCCGAGTTCGAATCTCGCCATGGTCGAATTGTCAGAGACGTGATTTCGTTAAGAGACAAGAGTTCTAATCTCGCCATGGTCGATTCGTCAGAGACGTGATTTCGTTAAGAGACCTGATTTCGAATCTCGCCATGGTCGATTCGTCAGAGACGTGATTTCGTTAAGAGACCCGATTTCGAATCTCGCCATCGTCGATTTGTCAGAGACGTGATTTCGTTAAGGGACCCGAGTTCAACTCTCGCCATGGTCGATTTTGTCGATTCTAGAATGATACAGAATTTTCAATCCCAGCAACTGAATCAATATAATCCTTCCACTTCATGACGTCGAAAAAATACAGAAAATACGGTCATCAGCAAGACGAAAAGCCCAACATGTAAATTACAAATTACAGATCTCGATATCAAGCAAGTACAGAATTTCAAATATCCAGGAAGTGTTTTAACAGATAACGGGAAATGTGGAACGGAAATCCGAACGTCCATTGGAATAGTGAAAGATGCCTTCCAAAAGCAAAATAATATTAAGAATATGTCGTTAGAAATAAAGAAAAGATTGCTGAAATACGTTGCAACATCAATTCTCCAACATGGCAGGGGATCCTGACCAATTTCCTCACAGATGAAGAAGAGGCTTCGAGTAAGATGCAGCTCCACAGAAGATGCGGAGCATACCATGGATGGAGTAAACTAAATTTTAAAGGAAAGAGCGAAGAAAAAGAAACGGTTGAAATTTCTGTGTCAAATAAAAGAATGCTTAGAGAATACACAGAATATATTGAAGTTAAAGAGGGCTGACTTGGAAGAATAACCTAGCTTGTGTAAATTAATTGCAGAACATGGACTGGTAGGGGGACTAAGGAGAAAAAACTTTACTTAGAGCAACAATGATTAGGAAAATATCGAGAGACATGATCGTCCATTTTTCTGAATTGGCTAATGTGAATGTGATTGTCCATTTGCTTTATGTAAAAAAAAAAGAAAATAAAGAAAAGTATTGGAAAAATTTAAAGGCCTCGATTTTTTTCCCGCTTGTAGCAGCTAGTGAACTCATAGGACCTTTTTTTTTCTTTTTAAGACAGGTACATTCGGTCGAGCGGGAAGTCTGTTAGGGAACCGGTGTCTTTCTCCTTTTTTTCTCAAGATACCATTCCTAAATACATTGTTATCAAAGGTTAAAAAGCTTTTATCTGCCCATTACTTGAGAACTCGTGACTATTTACAAACAGTTTCACAAGGTTAGGGTCAACACGTGAGAAGATTTCCAAGCTGTGCCTTATACTGTGATCATTTTCGCGGGCAAATATTATAAAGACATCACCTCCTTGGCTAATCGAAAATGGTAACTTGAATTTCACGATTTGACCATTTGCCCAGAATTAAATGGGAGTAGTTTAATTATTATATGCTTTTCTCTTTGACTCAACATGTTCCTCCATTTGGCCGCTGTAATCTCCGGTCTTATTAAAGTGTTTGTTGTCGTACTAAGCTAAAAACTTTATTCACTGGAGGAGGTTGTTTTCATTTCGCATTCCATGCCCCCGAGATTTGTGCTGTTAGCTAGATAGGTTCATTTATCGTCCAGTTCACACTTATCCTCGGAATTTTGTTTTCTGTTTAGGATTAGGTTAATTCTAAATTTGAATTCAACTTTATATTTCTAACGTCTCCGCGTAAACGCTGAAATTAGGACTATTATTGGGTTTTCGATTCCTTCTAAATTATTTTCCTTCTCTTTTACTTCCGGCAGCCCGCTTGAGTCTTAGTGTCGTTATCGCCTTGACTGAGATGAATTGATTAAAAAAAGAGACTTACTGGTCGTAGTTACCCTTTCCTCGCTTGTTGATTTTCTTCTACGGAATTATTTTTTTTTCGACTTACATACGCTATCCACTTTAGTCAGTGCTTGTTTTTGGAGGTCATCAAGTTACGTAGTTTCTGTTACAATACTTTCTTAGTGATAGTGTAGCTCCAATCTGTTAACCAGAGTATATTCTGCTTCAGGTCTATCAAATCCTGGTATCAAACTCACAATTTCTAATGAGTCCTAAACGTTTTATTTTTTTATTCTAAATGATGTAATCCACTCAGTGAAACTGGATGTCTCTGTTCAGCTGGTTGGACTTTATGCGTGTGTTGACTCAGGTGGTGGGCATATATGGTAACTTTAATAGTAATATGAGCCCTTTCCTTATAAGGAAACATTTGACATAACCAAGGAATGCGTTTCCTGATTATGAACAGAAATGTTCTTTATGTTGACATTTTCTTTTAAGACTTCTTTGTTGCTTATTCTCCTCGAACATGGAATTTTGAGTAACGCCATTTCATCATCCGTAGATCTTCTAGCATTGGCTAAGAGGTTAGGTATCACATAGCAATCCAACAATCTTTTTATTGTTTCTACGAATTCTTTCCCTTTTTTCAGTACATTACATAGCTTACAGTTCCCTCCAAAAAAATCCAAATCCAGTATAATTATAGGTTTATAATAAAAATGGTATTATAAGTATCTACCTGTAAGCCATTCATACCTACATTCCTAAAAAGAGAATGGCAGACGTTAATATGTTAGTCAGCACAGACAAAAACATACGCAACAATATGCAAGAAATACTTAGATTTATAATCATACAACCCGACACACAAAATAATTATACACACGACCCACGGTCATAGACATTAGTGCAGATAAATTGAGACACCAATCATGCATAATAACGTACACAATTAGAGTCTAAATACATACAAGGTGTTCGGGTTAAATTTGACAGAAACTAATATTTTTTTAAATTTTTTCCCATTTGTTTGGAATGTCTGTAGACAGTAAACGGCATTATGAAACCTAATTTCTACAATTCTAGAGATGTTAAAGTTAACTGCTGCGGACGTGTGGAAGCCGCTTGAATATTGGAAACTGACAGTCGCTCAGTGCCCTT